TCTCCACGCACGAGTTATATGCTGTTGGACATTCGCCAAGGCTGGTTCTTTCTGGTGATATCCAGTTACCATGCCTTCACGGCCGATTTAGATTAGAAACCGCAAAACGAGATAGATCGCAAGATCAAAATGATTGGTGGCTCGTCGATCTCTACAGTTCAGGTGAGTGAATCATTGTTTTACCTACAATCAGCTGCTAAATAGTAGATAGACGCACCTGCATCTACGTTAGTTTGGATTCGTCAATCGTACATGCGACATGCGCCTCTATGTGATGGGGAAAAATTTCTTCACATTCGCTTCTATGAACGTAAGAAAGATTACGAAGTCGTTTTAAGGTGGAAGAAGTTACTAGGAGCTAAGGTAAAGAGCCTTCATCAAGTTCTACGTAATGACTGGCTTCGTGACTGTCTTGAAAAACTAGAGCCATTTCGCTCCCTATGGATGGCCTTTCAGCTTGGATGCTTTCCATTGATTCTGAGCTGGCGGTGCAGACAGGTACGTGTCCCCTGAAACCAAAGTAACTCGGATCGTTTACTTCTCTAGGAAATTGAATACTATCTAAGCCAGATGTACGAGATCTGGTATACAATCACAAATGGAAACGCCTATCTCTGTGATGAATACACTATTGAGAAGCTTGGAGGCCTTGCGCCTCTATGGAGTTCTCGGGATCGCTCAACAATAGAGACCATGTTTGCCACATGTCAGGTCTTCCCTCGCGTACACGATTCTGCTATTCGTGCTCAAATCCTTCAAAGAGTTCTTGCTATCGAAGGACTCATTTTAAATTTCCAGACTTTTTTCAAGCACGTTAAAGTACTAGGACCGATTATGCTTCCTTTGAGAGAGCTGTTTCCAGCGAGTGAGCTATTCCCCCCGAGGGACGAATTCAGCCTAGTATCCAACCATCTTCCATCGGTAAGAGACATTCTATTTCAGCGTTGTTACGAGCTGCATGAGGAAAATAAGCAGCAATGTTTAGTGGAATACAGCGCCCTCGATGCACGCTTTATGGCATGTAGCGATCCCAAAAAGGTTGCGTACTGGCAACTCTGTCTTTATCTATCGCGCCACACGAAAAGCCAATGGAACTCTTACAAAGAAACAAAAGACCAGATGGGACAATCAGAGCGTCCAGAATGGATCATTCGGCTTGGCTCCTTTGCGCATAAGCTTGGATTTGCGTCTGCGGAGATCTCTTCTCTGTGCAATCAAAATCCAGATCTTTCACAGATTCGCATGCACATGCTTCGGGAACGACCAAATCACATATTCTCTGTGCCTGCAGAAAAGTTCGATGCTGAAGCTCATTCCCGCCAAAACGGTCAAACGATCTTTGAGCCTCGCCCGCCTGCTCCAACTCCATTGATGACGACTGACAACACGACTACCATACGGATGCCTAGGAGCCACCCAGGACTATTTCTTCCCACAATATGGACAGCACTTACCCAGGAGCCGAGATATGCTTTGACAGAATACGGAATACTTGTGTTGATTTTAATGTCGTTCTTCGAGAGATTTGAATCGACGTCTGTCAGCAGTACCTGCGAGGGCTTTCAACGGACTGAACCGGCCCAACCGGCCTGGTCACCATTGCGGTCTTCCTCGGTCTACTCGAGACCCGTGAATCCCGATCTGGCTAGTTCTCATATTGACCGCTTTACCTTCTGGCGTCTGCCACATAGTACAGATATGCGCCCTGAGCCGATATATGAGTGCGATTCTATTCAAGCGGAGGTTATGAAAGTAATAACAGATATTAGACACCAAGGCACCTTCGCTTTTTTTTTTTTAGTAGATAGATCCGGACAACTTAAGACTTGTACTCCCTCTCAAATTGGCCATCGCCGTAAAAGATCTAAGCGACCTAATGATATATTCTATGCGTATGGCAGGGAGAATAGTAGTATGTGGGTTGGGAGGTACTTGGATAGTCCATAAATCTAATCTTATTGCATTGTGTGTGACCGTCAAAGTGCCCTAGATTAACGAAGGTGACATCATACCTGCTTGCGTGACAGATATGGTTGATTCCAAATATGGTAAAGTGGTCCGCTATCACATTTATTGAGCCGACATATACTCCTAGCGTCTTGGATGAGATGGCCGATGTTCACGTTAATTGTGGCACAGTAGTCTTCACTTCAGGGACTACGTAAGCCCAACTCTTGGAAAATCGCCACATGCACGAATGTGGCACAGCAACACTACATCGCTGCTATCCTATGCTTGCATTGGGCGCATATAATGCCCCTAATGGTTCCTTGCATGTTATGTGATACGCACTGGCAGATAATCATGAACGCGATGCAAAGATCTAAGCAAAGAGTGAAGCAAGCATGCAATCGGTGCCGAGCCAAGAAAACGAAAGTAAGCGCAGCTAGCCAAAATGCGATTGAGTAAAATACTCACAGTAGTACTGTGTGATGGGGAGCGTGTATGCAACAGATGCCAAACGGACGATACCCGCTGTGATTACAACCAGGACGCGGGCCACCAGTGGGATAAAAGATCTACGTAAGTATTACTAAGAGTTGAGCAGTGGTAGGTCCAACTCACTCATATTCTATGCAGGATAGCTCTCCTTGAGGCACAGAACAAACAGCTAAAGGAGACAGTACAAACGTTGTACGAATACATTCGAACTGGCCATAACATACCAGTACTGCCAGGTCGGAGCTCAGGAGACGACCGCCCACTCTTGCACGACATCGTGGAATATGTTAATACACCGCCTGTGCGAATGGAAACCAGTACCGACCAGTTGCAGCAGCAGATCCCATGGCTGGGCACTACATCCACTTTGTCTCTACCACAACCGCAGCCAGAAACCTCGTCATATCTAAGCTTTGCTGCGACTGAGTCTCAACGGAGTAACTTCATGGCACCTTCAATGCAACCAGATCTTCCGTTAACGGAGTACAACTTAGCACAGGTGGACCACGAGTTTCTAGGAAGCAGCTTTGACCTACAAGAGTTTTTGTCGTTCGCGGAAGCAGACCCAGTAGAAGCGGCAAGATCGCGTCGATGGCTATAGCCATACAAATCGTGTGAGATGTGTTTTTCTTTGGCGCGAAGGATGGGGATCCAAGCATGTAGTTGAAAGTAATGAAATTGTATTGCATTGATATATTGTGTGAGGTTTTCGTGTTCTATGACGTATCCCACGCAGAGCATATGCCCTTACACTGTTCTGGCATAAGTCACAGACTCGTCATCCTCGAATTCTGGATAGCCATCAAGCATATCTTCCACAGGTTCGCTGTAGGCTTCCATATTCTCAAACTGTGTGCTGCTGGAAGAAACGCGCTCCAGGTCCAGGTCATCAACACCCACTAGTTTCCTCGATGTCCGGCCGTCTTCTGCAATCTGGACGTCTAATCGTTTGACTTCATGGCATGTGTCTAGCTTCAAGACTTCTTGTGTGAGATTATCTCCAGCTTCCAGAGCATCTCCTATAGTAGTGCGGACATAACGGCTGATATCGGCAGTTGCTTCCTCGATTGCTACATTAGCGTCCAGTAGCTGTTCTCTCTGGAGATCTACAGCGCTCCGCAAACTTCGAAGTCGATTATCTATCTCTTGTAGGCTTGAGTCTCCCCTCAAGATCCATACAGCCAAGTCGTTTTTCTCGCGTAGATGGAGAGCTTCGCCGATACCCAGTGGACTTAATAGTGTGCTTGCGACTTCTGAGCGACATGCTGCACCTCGGAGCATCAGATTTGCTGTGATATTTAGTAACCCTCATTATGCTCGCTAATAGAGACTACGTACCCAACAGTACAACACAATCTGTATCCTGACCACCAGCAAACTGCTCAGTGGGCAATGGCCCCAATTGAAGTGGACGGACAAAAAAGACATCTTGGAGTAGCTGATGGTACTTGGTAGGGCCCAAAACCTTGGCTACATGAATAAGCATAAGGAGTTTGGCTGTAGAAATCGTCTCTGGCCTTAGGGTTTGTGTGATGAAGCTGTACGCTACGGTATTATGTACGCGCGATGTAGTGGGAATCTTGTATCGTCGAATAGCGTCAGCCATCTTCACAAGCGTTTGTAGCGATATGTGAGATTGCGGTATGAAAGAGCCATGAGCCGACTGGCACATCAGGCGAAAAGCTTCAGGATCTTCATCAGGGAGCTCAATCCTCTTACGCAACGTGCCGTTTGGCTTGGTAAAAAGCTTTTTGAACTCGGGTGACGTTTCCAGCATGACTGAGGAAGAGATAAAAAACTGGGTTTGTTGGATCCTAATCTCGACGTCGCCTTTCTCGTATAGAGACATGCTGAGACTGATTGCAGAGGCCACTGTAAATCAAGATGAAGGGGTTATTTGTATGTTGTCTATACCACGGTAGTATATATAGTCGAGTGATTGAGAATTCTGGAACAGAAAACTCCAGCTGTACATTCTTCTCGCATTAGATAGCGATCTGTCTACGTACGCCCTCGTTGGCACACATCCGTTCACGTCAGTGTTTGCAGGCCCACTAAGGGGCGGAAAGGTATGCCGTTGCCTGGCTATTCCGGATGCCGGCCCATTCAATGAACCTCAAGAGGTCTTCCGGAAAACGGAATGCTCGCATGAGATGATCACATATTCGGCGTTTTTCGTCTATTCGGCTGTACTGCGGCGCGGCAAGCTTCACCTAGCGCATACGCTACTAATCACCAGCGCTTACAACACCAATAATAACGACATCCGATTCTCCGGACTCATGCATAGCGGCAATTACGGTCGTCTTTCTCCATGTTCCATTCGTATCCCCAGCCCCCTAATTCATGCAAGGATTCCTGTAATGGCTCTACAAAGTAGATTTGCGCGCGCCACAAGACATGACTCAGGTACATGTAAGCATGAACGCACGATCTGTGCATGCGATGTAACAAATTACGGCATAATGTTTACATTATACAATCCTATTATTTAAAGGCAATTTTTGCAAATACTACGTTCGTGCAGAAAAGATCCTAGGACCCTGTTCCCACAGTATCTACTTTAAGCGGATCTTGCCTGATGCAGTTATGATAGCGTCCGTATCAGATATTGCCACGCCTTTTAGTTCCTCTCTAAGCTGCAGTGCTCGAGCTGAACTGATCCCGTGGTCATCTTTAGGGATTCTAATCACTGGAATTGATGTAAGGGCCTTGTGGAGAAAAGGAGGGGGGGGAATTGCCTCCTCGGCTAGACTCTCGTTGAGCGCAGTGGGAGAAAAGCTTATCAGCGGATTGAATGCTCTGCAAAGCAAGCGATGGTATATCACAGTCAACCCTGTAGCAACCAACATGACGCATGCCTGACTAATACACTTAATGTTGCCCTGCGAGTCTCGTACAAGAAGAAATAGAGCGATAAGAAAGACTTGCATTAGATACAAGCCCATCAAGAGCTGTTTGATTGCTTTGGGATAGAAGAGACCCCCGTGATCCCGCTTAGTGATCAGGATACTGGATCTGGAGTAGATGATCCAAAACAAGCTTATTATAACTACCTGGAAAGGAATGATGATGGGTGAAATAATGGCGTAGAGAAATCCTAGTTCTTTTAGTGTATGCTGCTAAACGTATGTTCCAAATCTAAGACCTACCAATGCAAGAGAGATTTGTAAAAAAAGGAACAAAAGTGCCCCATTGGAGGTCCTGGCCCTTTCTTCTTATCATCATCTGAGTAATTGACTTATCGAAGATTGGGCCTAGTACAAAGGTTCCTATTAAGCGATCAAATCTCAAAAGAGAGTTGGCGCTAATTGAAAAAGCTTGTAAGAGAATATATGACAAGAAGTAATTACTTGCTTTTGGTAGATTCTTGGCCAAGGTCACAGCCAATGAGGCTCCATGTGCCATCTCGTTCGCAATCGCGGTAAGTCCTGCAGAAAGTGATACTACGAGAGTAACTTGGAGAAAGAGGAAATAAAAGTAATAATCCTGAATCTTGAGGTCTATATGGCTCCTGGAAGAGATACCCTGCTGCCTGACAAAATACTCTAATGCGACGACAAATCCTTTAGTCAAGATGGCCACTAGTGTGGGAGCCAATACACCTTGGAGTAGACTTAGGAAGGATTCTGGAAGTTCACTGATCCAGCTCAGCCAAGGCACCACCCGAGTGATGTAGATGACCTGGGAGAGCAGACCTGCCAGAGCTACTGGTATGACGCAAGCAGTCGCCGTTACCATGATAAGCGTGTTCGAAAGGACAGTGCGTATGGTTCTGCCCTTCCAAGTAATGTTAATATTGCTCCATACCACGTCGTCAATGGACAAAGGTATTGTGCGGGGTGTCATATAACCTGAGCCAGTATGAATCACGGTTTGACATGCCATATGAGCGGCTAGTGGATTGGCGAAGGTAATAAAGGCAGATCGCAATAGTGGAAATTTCTCTGGTGCTGCACGATAAAAGTCCATCTCTTCACTAGTTTTAAGAAGTTTCTCTCGATACACTATGCTGGTATCTACTTTTTCACGTTCCATCCAGACGAAGAGGTTTAGAAGGCTGCGTGATTTGTAGCCTGAGTGTCTAGTTCTTTGGGGAAGTTTTGATTTCTTGCTTCGTTTCTGAACGCCTGCTCTGTAGGCCTTCCGTATCTTTGAAATCTCCTCCATCTCGAGGGATCGAGCCAAATGCTCCCGTCTGTCTGCCAGCCGGGAAATTAGGCTATAGTCGCGATTGAAGGAAATTGCGGTAACTACGCCAGGGAAGACCTCGAGTTGAGACGTGAGTGCCCTCTCGGACATCCAATCATCGGGTATAGATTCGATGAGTACTGTGCACAGGGCCGCGTATGTTGAGTGTTGCCGGGTTGCAACATAAAATGCAAGCTCGTTCCAGATAACCCAGCAAACATGTACGATAAAAAGCAAACCAAGGATGAGATGGGCCCAGTAACGATCTGCCTGATCAAGGCCAACATTGGACCATCCCAACGCATCAAGTCCACTTACTCCAAGAACAGCAGTTTTTCCTTTGGTGTAGTTCAAAGGAATAAGAATAGGTGGTATAAGTATCGAAGCGGGAGTGAATATAACAGCTAGTGATCGTAGGTACCGGCGAAAAAAGTATCTATCGAGATGCTCGTGGCGGGGGTCAAATCGAACCAAGTTGGTTGCAATGTATGTCTTCCAGTTTACCGGTGTATTGGCGTAATGGTCGGGAATAATAGGGCTGTGGTAATCAGCGCTAGATCTGATAAAATGCCTTGAGCTTACTAGAAATCTGGGAATCGCTTGCGGATGACGAGAAACGCAAGAACTTGTAGTGTGAATATGCTCGCAGAAAAGGAGACAGATGCAATGAATGATCCTAAAGAGATACCCTGGAGCTGCTGAGCTTTGGCGAACGATTTTTCGAAGGTATTATCCATCGCGTTAGCCAGATATTCAGTTCTTACAGAGTAAGCTTTAACATGAAGTAGATGGGTTCTGAGCGGCAGAGACTCTTCGAATTGATCGCTTTAAACGATCTGGTCTAGGAATGGCTTAGTGTAACAAGCAGGAGCACTTTGAAGTGTCGTGCTTGTTACGCTACGCCTAGAAGAGTATACTCTACACAGTTACTATAGCTTGAGCGGCAAAGATCTGTCTAAACTACAGTCTCTGAAAAACATACTCTAGAAATGTACTAGCGTAACAAGCAGGAGCACTTCGAAGTGTCGTGCTTGTTACGCTAAGCCCAAATTAGTAGACTACAAAACAAGCTAGCGTTATTGGCCTACAAGTGAATCCATCCGTTCCGGGCCGGATTAGTGCGACGGAAGACAGGCAGCGACGGAAGGTAGGGAATCGCTCTTGGTGAGCAACTCTTGCATGATGAAGCAGGTTTAATTGCGGGATGCCTCTGCTGACCCCGTGCATAATTCGCCTATCCAATTCGCTGACATGATGGCGCCAGACTGTTCTCTGCCTTCTGCCCTAGACTTGATCAAGGTGTGTAAATTCCAACAAAAACGTGCCATGGCTGATTTATCTAATAAGATAAAGCGTGTGGTAGACAATTGGTTGCAAATGAGTGATGCAATCGACTTCGATGATCTTGTAGCCCTGATAGATGCGCTCGACTGTTTGAAGAAGGACGCACAGCAGAAGATTTCTATCAGGAGAGCAAGCCAAGCAAGCATGCAAACCCATCGACAGCCTAAATGTGTGGGTAGTGCGAAACAAGGGGTGCGAAGGTCTTCTCGCCTCGTCGCATCCGCTCCTCAATATGCTTCAACGGGCCCGCTGTTTGTCAATGAAGACGAATCTGAGTCTGAGTCCAGTAATGAAGACCATGGGACACAGTCACAAATGCTCTACGAAGAAAACTATGATGAACACGAAACAAGGAATGCTGCAGCAGAGATCCTGATGAATCAGTTACCCGTCAACAACGATAGCCATGCAGACATAAACCTTCTTGAAAGGAATTATGGGCATGAGACATCGCAACTCAGGCATCCCATAGAGCAAGACATATTCTCTCCAACGCCCTATACAGCAAGGCTGGTCAGTAACCAGCATACGGATGTACAGCCAGTGCAAGTACTCAATGAAGCCTCGAACGCCCAATTTCATCGGGAAACTAGTGCCACTGCTCCATACCAAGCATTGGAGGATCTAGATGATGTCGAAAATCAGCGGGTTTCTGAGCTTCCACATGCTAGTGTCGTCCATGAGCCACAACTAGGCTTGATGGAACAGGATGCTCCAGATTCGTTCTTCAATGGAGAAGAGTTTGGAGGGAATATCATGAATAATTTACCCTCGCCTAATTATTTTGATGAAGTGTTCGAAGACTGGTATACCTCTGTACATGACGAGGTGCCGTGTGACGTCGAGGAGGCCGCTACATACTCTGAGGAACAATGTCCGACCAACCAAAGTCACACAGAAAACTTTGACGCTGATCCAATACTTCAAGGCTATGTGGATCTCGCTTGTCGCTCGGGCTTTCGCCTTCCACAAGAAACTGCAGAGGGTACAGATTGTGTTGATGCTCGGGAGATTCTATTACCTTTAGTAAAAGAAAGGCCCCTTCCGTCAAGACTCATCCATGGTATATTGCATACGTTACTGCCCGGCCCGATTCTCATTATCGATTTTTGTTCTGGTGGATTCGATCCAGACGTGGTGGAAGGAGGCACCTACACCGACTTTGTAGCAATCGTACGCCGGAATGAAGACGCTTCGCCTCTGATTGTGATAGGGCTTGAGACGAGCAAAACATTTTTTATTGTTGATAGCGAAACATGGGATTTACCATCTCTTGGGATTCAGTGGCTGATACGCCCTGAATGGAGGACGGAACATATTGATGTAGGCCGATCACCCACTGGACTCCTGACACTAACTGACCTTCTTCAGCCTCGAAGCATTGAGCCACATATGGAAAGTACTCTGGTATCGGTTTGGATAGCAGAAGCCTACATTCGGCGTTGGTCCCTCGAGAATGTCCCAACATCCCGTGATTTACGCATGCGTTTTCTAGAGGAAATGCTAGCGCCCTATCAACTCGATTCGGTTCTTGAGAAGTGTGGCATTCCCAGTAAGCCTACAAGGTTTGAACAGGCTGATTCCCGGTGCAAAATGGCCTATTCAGAGACGCAAAGACAAACTGTTGAGATTGTCGTACCAAATCTGGGAAATTTCGAGCACGAAGCGTTACAAGAATCACTTCGCCTAAGGCCTTCCGAGATAAACCGCGAGCGTTGTTTACGCATCTTACAATGTGTGAATGAGATTGGATCTCCTCATATTCTTGACTCACTCAGACTGGCGTTTACTAGGAAAGACCAATGTCAAACCTATCCAGCCACAGAGCGACCTATCTTCGAAAAACTATACCAAATCCATATTTACTTGGATAGGCAAGAAAGCGAAAGCCATATCTTGGTTGCTAGAAATCGATATATCAAATATTGTTACTTTGAGACATATCTGCGAGCTGTCGAAGCGCTGAAGGAAGAGAAGCGTAATAGTACCCAAGAAAGACGAAGAGTCTCAGCTCGAAAACGGACTATCAGCTTCAAGCAGGGTATTTCTGAGAAGCTACCTCCTACTCCACATACTGAAGAGATACATCGAGTTTATGAAAATCTCAGTGCGTCAGAAAGAAGAAAGCGTGCCCCTGACATGGTCAAAGATGAGATTTCAAAAAAAATTGTGAAGGTAAATGGCGGGAATGAAAAACGGATTCGACGCAGTATCAACAAATACATCAAGGACGGGAGAGTTCTACACAATATTCTGCGAGGCAGGAGATCCTTAAACCCAGCACTGCTTATTCTATTTCCAAGCTTTGGATCCGATTTGCCTTCTTTGAGTACGACTGAATTTGGATTAGAGCTTGAAGAGCTTGAGGAGAAGGCTCTTAGTAAGCCCATCCAGCTGAAAGAGTATGATAAAATTCTATGTGTTTTAAAACTTTCACTAATGTCAGTGAACAGTATAGATGAATTAACGCTGGTAGAGGCAGCTTGGTTTGGCGAGGCGTTGCAGGCGAGGCCGGAGCTGCTAGAACCGGTACCGGAGGCTGTCTCTGATCTCATCTCGAATACCCTGACCTATGATCTTGATCTCCAAGGGCGTGACCCAGATAGCTTCCGGGGTAGACCACTCCGATTTTTTACGTAGTAGAATGCGGTTTTTTCCGCACTTGGATTAGCGTGCCATTTTCCCCGAGCGCAATAATACCTATCAAATTTATCATTTCTCACTTTATATAATTCTTCCATCCCCAACTTGGACACATCATCCTGTTTACTTAATAAAGCCATCTCTTGTACGTTTTCGATATTAGATTACTGTTTAAACGGCGAAATGAAGACTGAACCTGAAAGCAATATAACCAACGAAGATGCATGGCCTTGTTTAGGCGCTCTCAGCATTAACCCTCTGTATATGCTTGTATTTTGGGAAAGTTCATGGCTTTCAACACGGGAGTACCATGCACTTCGTCAACATGGACATCAGGGGTGGCTTGTTCACGCTCGAGGCGAAGACGAGTTACTTATTTCATGGGAGCCTACAATGGAAAAAAAGTCAATTCAACACTCGCCCCAAGATCTACTTTATCAATTCTCTGTCGAGGTCCGAAAAAATCGCCCTGGTTTACTTGGATATGTCGCGGCAAAGCCCTTACCTCCCTCTTCAAACGCGAATAGCCGTTTTCCAGCTTTTCTAGCCTACTGGAAAGTCGCCCGAATGACCAAGGGTCTCTTTTATTATTTACAGAAAACGTATCCTAGCCATCGGGGCTATATTGTACACGAGGAGCTAGGCGAAGTTTGGATACAATGGGAACCTACGTGGGTGGTTTACGAAAACTTGGATGAAAGGAAGAAAGAGCAGCTCTTACAGATATGTCATGATCCTGAGGCCATGTTGCATCGTTTCCACAGGACAATCGTTCACTACTCCATGCGCTCAGTAGTAGAAAGGCGGATTAGTAAGAGTACAAAAAATTGAAAGATACCATTCACAATCTATCGCTAATCTCGTATTTGCATATATATGTGTTATGAATCTAGTTAGTTCTACCAGCCTGATGTCCTATTAAAAACCTACACAGCAGTTGAATCCACTGAGCCGAGCAATATTCTACGCACGAATTCTCCAGTGACAGGACGTCGTGAGATACTGGTAGGCAGTTCAACACAGTTACAAAAGCCCCTGTTGTTGTTGCTGCGGTAGCTCAATCTGTGCCAGATACTGCCATCCCCTGTGTTCGGCAACATGGCGAAGCAAATGCCATGAGAATCTGTTATTTGTGACTTTTTGCTCTTTTTGCTTCCGTAGATAGCGTTGTGAACTCCAATATTGGCCTCTAACAGAAGACCGACATGAGCTTGCGGTAGCTTGCCCTTGACGACGATGATGTCGATCTTAGAGCCAAGTCCGCCTCTTAAGGATTCCTTGGCGTCTGTGAACGCCTGCAGTGCAACATTAGTCAAACTAATACCCGTGCCGGCATCGTACGATGTCTCCATCAGGCTTTCGTAGTTATGGACTGCAAAGTTAAGGGGAACAGGCTCCATGTACCGCGGAAGGAGATCTCTCGCTTTTTGACTTATCCTTTCCTTCAAAGCCTCATTAGAGGATTCTTCTACCAAACTGTAGTTACTGTATGCATCTTCAATAGTTTTGGTCATTTCTTCAGCGGCGCTTCTTCTATTATTGCCTGTACGAGGCTCTTCTGAGAGTGTGTTGTTGTTTTGATGGCCTTCAGCCTGTATTAGGTTGAAGCGATAGCCTTCGCGCGTTTGCTGGAAAGCACTCTGCCAGTCAGAGTTCTCAAGGTGCAAACTGCCGGTTTGCGCTAGATGTTCGGTCCATAGTCGAATCCCTTCATAGAGAGTCTGAATCTTGGCTAGCTTTAAAAAGGCTTTTATATCTCCAGTGGGGTGACGTAGCGGCAGATTTGGGAAGACTACAGTAACACTTCTTGGTCTAATTCGGTCGAAGACGAACTTCAACGCAACTAAGAAATCAAATTGTAGCGCCCAGTGATCACAGAGATCTTCATGCAAGAAGATTTGAAAAGATCTTTCGACCACCTGAGCCTGAAATTCTCCATTGTTGACCAAGTCCCGTAAAGATTCTTGGTTCTGCTCCTGGGCCGTGACTGGAAGTTGAACACGTCCATCCTTTGTAGAAGCCGATTTAGAGCTGGCATGTCCCATTCTGAAAACGAAAAACGGATAGGAGATAGATGGTTGTTTGTGAAGAGAAAATCACTGTGATTCTTAGAGGCTTTTAGCTCAGGTTATATCCGTGTGAATTACTCATTGCCCCTCGTCATCCACGTTCCTCGACCACCTCTCCAGCCTTGGCCTTGCACTAGCTGCCACGTGCATGGCTGAGAGCATCATATAAAACTGGAGGCATTGCCTAATATCAAATACAACCATAGCCTGGAAAACTCCTATATACTTCTAACTTCAAGGATGCATATGAAATCTTCTTGGGCCTTTTTGCCAATTGCAATCGTCCGTTCGCACGTCTTTGTGGGCGAGCCCGCGCCTTTCTTCTGGGATCCACAGGTGGCAAAGCTGATCATGCCGTTAAATGGTGATCCAAACTACCAAGGTCCAGGTTGGGGTCAGCAATCCTTTCCTTGCAAGGGACATCACAGGAATGTGATTAACTACGAAGCTCATGCAACTTGGTATACTGGAAGTACGGTAACGTTTCAGTATGTCAGTTCATACTCGAACAATTCCAAGCAATAGCTTATAGCCTGCTCATAGGATTTATGACTCCACAAACACGACTGGCTCTAGCATGCACGAGCCAGGTGCAGCTCATTCAGGAGGCTCTTGCCAGGCATCATTTTCCTACGATAATGGGGAAACCTGGATTGTCGTGCAAAGCTGGGAAGGAAACTGCGTGCGTGTACGAAAGGGTCAAGAAGGTAAACTTACAAATTTATATGATATCGATCAGAGTTACTCTTTCGATATTCCTGATTCCCTTCCAGGGGGAGATGCGGTAATCTTCGCATGGTAAGTCAGACGCTTCCTTGACAGTGCGCTACTGACTCAACAGGACCTGGCTGAATTCGTCCGGTAATCGAGAGTTCTATATGTCATGCTCGCCTATCCGGTTGATAGCAGCACGATCCCTGACCAAAATTCCATCTGGTTATCCTATGTATATTGCCAACCTTCAAGAAGATCCAGAAACACCAGATTCACAGCATCCAGCCTGGTCTCGGTGTTATGTTCCGCAAAATGTGTGGGTTCGCTATCCCCAACGGTACAAAGGCTTCAATCCACCAATCGTAGCCGATCCGCTTCCAGATAACAGTCAAATCCGCTTCTTAGCGCTTGGAGACGATGGGGGATTGTGTGGCTCAGACAATAAAGAAAGGATTAGAGCTCTTGCGCTTCAATCTAGTTAAAGTCCCGCTACTTAAGTATATATAAGATAGCTTTAAGTAAAAGAAAAAATAACTTTTATAGATAGCTAGTTTATCTAATATATATCTCTTTATAATATAATAACTACTTTAATAAATCAAATTATAGATAGTTTAACTTTATACTAATACTATAGTTTATTACTATTCTTAAAATTATATGATTCTACTTAAATATATACTAAAGATAATTCTTAGTTAATATTTACTTACTAATATAGACATTATAGTTATATAGTTAATTCTTATAGCTATATATAGATATTTATTTTATCTTAATTATATACTTTATAACTTATAAAACTACTACTATTAGTTTTATTCTATCTAAAATATCTACTACTTCTATATATTTCTATATATTTAATATAAATATAGCTTTAGTTTAGCCAAAGTCATTGCTTCTATAGCCCTACCTCGGCTGCGATAGTATACTAGTAATAGGCGTGTGAAGTAGTACTCGTTAATGCAACTTTTCACCAAGTTCCAACTATCTTTTGACCTGTCATAATTGCGTAGAGCTTTTTAGCCGTCCATACAATAGCGCCAGCATAAGAGCCTAGAAAAGCAGCTCTCGTTAAGATATATTTCGCGCGGGGCATAATTACAAGTATGAAAGAAGTGAAGACACCTGCGTAGATAGCCATACCGACTTCAGACCGTAGATTTATCGTAAAACTAGCAAGCAAACTAGATATCAAAAGCCCCATTAGTACTGAAAGCGTACCTAGGGGGGACACTCACAAACAAGTAAGAGAGAACAGTGCTGGGACCTTCTCCCCGTAGATTGTCGCAATAGTACGATACCCTGCAAAGGTATCTGCTTCCACATCTACCATTGCGGCCATGCTGTGCAGAGCTGAACCATACAGGAGGATAAGCCAGCCCTTCTTTGAAGCAAGTACAGAAGGGACAAATATTACGTTTCCATCGAAAATATAGCCGCAAGCCCAGAAAAGCCAGCATATTACTCCATTTGAAAGTGAGTCTAGGACCGGTCGTTCCTTAAGTCGGAAAGGGGGTGATGAGTATGCCCACAGCAACACGAGAACAGCGATGATACAACTAAAGAGCTCTGAAGACTTTCTCCATGAGGTAAAAGTTACTAATATAACTAGAGCAGTCGATGCTTTAGCTGCTAGCAATACACATCTGTGATGATGCTGGTGGAGAGCGGTCCCGTCCGTCCATTGATTAATCTTGCGTCGATTTTGCAAATCTGATATATAATCATAAACATCATTCACTCCAAAGGCAACTCTTTTCGTCAGTACAGTACGAGGTAGGGGATTCAGGGTGGCAGTTGCTAACATACTAAGACATATGGGCAAGGTTAGCGCAGTGCCAAAGAGTAGTTGCTATACACCCAATTTATATTTTCCAGAATGAATCAGACCTGAGAACCATATTGTAGGAGCAACTACCCAGGATAGAGGGCGGCTTACTAACACCAGGAGGGCAAGCTGCTTGGATAGAGACATCGTTTAGATACACGTGGGCCGATAGAAGATAGGTGTTTCTTGCCACGACTTAATGACTATAACTGCTACGAGACACTAGAAACGATCTATAGAGCAAAGAAAACTCTAAAATAAGATTAAATATATACTAGTTATAGCACAGGTCAACGGATCAGGTGTTACTCACGAGTGAAGCTAGCACCACAAGTGATTTTAGCTGCTAACGCACTCGGTATCCGCCCATCCCAAAATCCCGTCATTCTCGGCCAGGGTACAGCGGAGATCGTACATAAGTATTGCAGTGATACTAGAAGCCCACATATTTAAGTAAATTACTTAGTTATAACGGTTAGTAGATATCAAAGTAAGTAAAGACATACGTTAGACTATTATAGTTATATAAAATTATTAGTTAACTACCCTACTCTCGTTATTAAGTGTGTTAATCCTTACACTGTCGACTAAGATATTGAGATAGATACTGTTTTCCATGACGTGTTAGTGCTGTGCTTTGTAACCTAGAAAATCTCTATTAGTTGTCTTGACTAGGTTATACAGTGTCGCTGCACCTAAAATTAAGGCCATATTCGTTCATGACTGTATCCTGAGTATAAGAAATAGATACCCTACTAATCAAAATCTATTTTATCTACATTCTACGTGCTAGAACTTCACCAGGCCTAATAAGTTCGTAATTTTAGGTCTTTCTACTAGTATCATGACTACGCAAAACACCAGACAAAGTCTTTGTTTACTCTGCGGTAAACGACGATCCAGCCGCACTCAGCACGTCCAAGATGTTCAAATCTGTTCAAGAAAGACATGTGCCAAAACTCAACGCCTGATAGAAAGGGTTTTAAGGGACAGTAGCAGCCTAGTTATCAGGGTCAATCACTACTACCATGCTATTTATGCAAACAACGATATATCTAATTGCTTACACTCTAGTTGTGATCTTCACGCAGAAGTTCCCAACATCGAAACGCTCGCCGAACTGCCTGAGAATTTTGTAAGGCCACGGTCCAATGTACACCGCTACTAGAACCGCCAAGTGTAGATAGTATGGCTTCCAAATATATATTCTCTCAACTTATCTCTTAGCACGCATTGCGACAAAGGTTATAAGGCTCTCAAGTGTCTGATATTGACCACTTCTGTGCAATCTTCATCTAAATCTACGTAACGTGTCTTTTCAAAATCCTCGTATATATATGTTATAAGATCGACAAACTACATCAAGCTATATTATCTTTCTATTTAATAATGTGCTCCACGCGAAAAGCGCTTTGCATTGATCTTACCACTGATGTAGAACATTGCGCCATGTGCTCAAAAATACTTGAAGTAGATAGCGGAAAAGCCAGCCTTGTGTATGTTTTGAAGGATTGTCGTTGTGTAAGTCTTTTGTTATTCACATCGAGTTATGTTACTAATAATGAGAAGGTTATCTGTGGCTTTTGTGTCCAGTTTCCGGGTGAGGCACCCTTTCTTCCTTGCCAGCATACCGACCACATGGACTTTGGGTGGCAGAGACCGATACGACTCTACAATCTAAAATGCGCTATCTGCTTCGATGCTGGACGTTCCGTCCGCATTGCCCTAGTCTGCGGTAGGTTGATATTATACATTTGAGGTAGTTAATTGGCTAACGATTAAGGCCACGTATATTGTCGAGGCTGCATTCTAACATGGATAAGCTCTCCTCGAGAGTCAAACAAAAATCATGTTACTTGTCCAACGTGTAGGAATAGTATGACCAAGGTCGGGCGATTACTGTCACATAATCAAATTGTTGTACCCGCCCAACGAGGTGTTGAGATTTTATCATAATACCACAGTCTATAGATGTGTGACTAGATAGGTTCTCTCGCAATCGATCGACCTTTTTTTCTGAGTAACTTTAAGTGGAATGACTACTCGATTCCGTAGCGAGCCGTTCGCGTTGACGCAATAGCCGGCAATATCTCTCGTCATCCGAGCTCTTCCGTGTTACCCTCTTAATCGCAACTTGAGCAGCCGGCGGCTTAAGTAATAAGAAGATCCGGTATATTATTTAATCATTCAGATCTGCTCTTGTTCTGAGTTTGCTCCAGAATTCATTCTGTAACATCAAAGCTTATAATGACTATTACTACACCCCATTATGGAAAGTACCTGCTCGTATTGTCTGGATCGGTGGAGTATGCCCCGTTCTTAGAAAACTGGAAAACTCTTAAAGACAGCGTGCGAAAAAATGCCGGAAATCCAGGGTGGACAGATGTGAGCACAACGTCACACAGAGGAATACGACGTGCATGGTGCAATCTGTCGATAGAAGGCAAGGCGAAAACTGCATACAGTACGCATCATCATTCGCAAATCGAAGAATAAATTTTCACATAAAGTGCCCTAGGATACTATTCGAAAATGCCAGGAGTGGGAGTCTGCTTAATGGAGAGGACATTAAATGGCGAATACCTGCTGCTTCACTATAACTGCGACGTCCCCTTCCCTGCTGCGTCTCAGTGTAACCACAACCCTTGTGGTCGGCAGGAAAACTGCCAAAGGCTCATGCCTAATAAGGCAGTTCTACCTTGTAGCACGACCTTGCTTTTTGTACCTCACAACCTGATGCACCTAAGGGGTTATTGTCTCTTACCCTTACGATATTACCCCTTGTGTATAGCAGGTGTACATCCACCTACCTTTGCTTGTGGATTTGTAAACGTGCCACTCCCATTATCATAGAGGGCTATTATGCTACGATGTATAGAACCATTCTTAGCTATTCATAGCATCTACTATCATAAATGTATCTATAGTAACATCATAGCATGCTATTTAGAATGTTTGTATTCGACAAAGAAACAACCACGCACTATGAGTCACAAGTGATAGCTGAGTTCATATACACGCCACACGTTTCATTGTTACATTCACTAGATAATGTCTTAGTGAATTTTTGCCTGCGTATGTCTATATAGATCTGCGAGAGTCGACTTTCTTAACCAGACATCTTCACGGGCCCTATACATTGCACATTACACACCTACTATACGATGTATATAGTGCGAATCCTCCTAGCATCCTTAGTGACTACAGCTCGAGCACACATGTCATTATGGTATCCGCCCCCTCTCGGTGGCAGTATCGAAGCCAACTCTTTGACAACGCAAGTGGATAAAGAATTCAATTTTCCGATTGGATGCTGCGATTCTCAGGGTGAAACAACATTATCCTCTCCTGGCGATTGTCGTGGTCATCTTGACCTTCTAGATACAGAGGAAGGCAGACCGCAAGTAACATGGGAACCTGGCCAGGACGCTTACTTTGAGTTATCCGACCACATGTATAGTATCGGTGTTCCAGGATCAACTCACTATGGTGGAAGCTGCCAGGTTGGATTCTCCGTGGACAAAGGTCAGACATGGAAAGTCGCAGCTTCATATCATGGGAACTGCCCTCACAGAGACAAAAACATGCCACAAGTCTTTAAATTCAAGGTCCCTTTAAACATACCAACAGGTATCGCAGTCTTTGCTTGGATCTGGTTGAACCGTGAGCACGAGTTTTTCATGAACTGTGCAGCGGTTCAGATTTGCTCGAGCGCTAGGAGTACCACCACGCCCACTCATACAAGCTTTGAAACTGTTCCTACAACACATTATACTGCAATACTAGATCCTACTAGCGAATCACAAAGAGCAGGTAAAAAAAGACAGATCTGACGGCTACGATGAATACTCGACAAGCCGCAGCAGTTCGTACGGTGCAAAGCTGGCTAGACGTAAGAGGAGATCCATTAAACATCGTCATAGTGGGAAGCATTCCTGGCACAATCACCATATTCACAAATCCAATATCTTAGCATCGCCTGAAGAGCTCCGTCGCAGGTCAGAAAACCCAGCTTCCGATGTTTGCGATTGGAACACCGCACCCAGGATGGAAACAAGCTACTATTCTGTAGATGCAAGATGTGCACCTAACGCTAAGCTGAAGAACCCAAAGAGTGATGACTTTGAAATTGGCTGGGTCAATGTCTGCGGCGTCGTTGAGGGAGACCAAAAGTACACTATTCAGAACATTGAGTGTTAGGGATAGAGTCCTAGCAGGCTTATGAAGATCCTGTCCTAGTCCTTTTTATGGCAAAAATAAAATTCAAATAGTACAAGTTAACTAATCTAGCGATGGAACGGCTAACATTGTCCATACATGCATCATTTGATTCTCCCTGCGCCTCCTAGATGATATCTTTTTTAAAGACTTTGTGCTATCTTTTCGATTATGCTAATGTACATAGAATACAACTGATCCCCTGTATTTGTACATATTAGCAAAGAAAGCATAGTTAATACACAACCCCCTTGTACAAGAAGCATTCGCAATACTTTCCAATTACGAGCACATCGCTGAGAAAGATGGCTATCCAAGATGGCTGTTGTACTTCTCGTGAATATGTCTGCAGCTTTGTGCGGATGATACGGGACTTCAAGTTCCGTCGCGGTGAATGTCGATGGAGCAGTTTGACATGCTGCAGCTGCAATGACACCGAACCGGTCAAGTACATAGTTAACTGGCAGATCGGATTCGGCAATTGTCTTATACTTCAAGATGTATGCTCTGCGGCCTTTCTTTTCAAAGTCGATTTTGCCCGTCCAAGCAATAAGGTGCTCCAAGTCGACCAGGTAGAAAGGGTTCGCTGTCTTTCTTAGAAAACGCCCTTCTGTAATCCTTCTCAAAAGTAGCTGGTTAAGCTTGACCCGGGCGTCTTCCCAGACGGGATTTTGAGAAGCTGCTGCTGCAAGTACATTGCAGTACTTGAGTCCCATTGAAGCCCACTCATAGTATTGGACCTTATTCATACCCCAATACTCGGCTGTCTTAACAAGCGGAGCGAGACACTGCTTACTCATCCTGATCTTAGATTGTGCCGTGTTGACGAACTGCTCCCATTGCTTCGCATCGAAAAGAGAGTCTAGCTGCGGCTGCTCGTTCTTCCTATATTGATAACATTCTTCTATCATAACCTTGTTCAGTTTTTTAAATAGCCAGTCAGCTTCTTTCTGTTGTGAAAGCATCTCCTTCCGTATAGCTATGCATGCTTGAAACTTTTCATCTTCAGATGATATAGAGCGTAATGAGGTCTGAAGCGCCCGGATGTTTGGAGAAGCAGGATTGAAGTCGAGTATATCGGTACTTTGGAGGCTTAGCTTTGAATAGGTACTTCACTGTAAGACCTACTTGTTTGTTGTCCTTTCCATCTTGTGCAATGCCAAAGGCCGGATGGTAGACTACCGTGCCCTCAAACAGCTTATATACCTTAGGGGCTAGTGTTTTCAAGAGGTTATTAACCCTTGCTTATGATGTGTACGGGGATTAGGTACTATTGGTAGTGCTACGCACGTGCCTCTGCGTCATCTTATCATGACGCTGGGCACGCGATAGCTGGCTGACCTTCCTGCCCTTACATTATTGACGTATAGCTACTTACCCTATCTTTTCTTATAAGATTATGAACGACCGAAAACTTACTATATGTATCCCGCGCTAAGTGCTCATTCAGCTTAAGCGGATGCTCTAGTCTTGAAGTAATAACTCCATCCCCTATCCAAAAAGGCCGACAGTATCCAGACTGTCCCCGTAACTTCTGTATGACGAAAAGTTCGCCGGCAATCGACAAGAAGATATTGCAAGTGGCGATATGGAAAAAAGCATTGGGTCTCTTGAGTACCTTCTCTTTCTTTCGCCGATTCGGAGAAAAATCTTGGATAGTGTGTCCGCCTTCGACGCAGCAAAGTTAGTTAACTTGAAATTGTGCGTTTTGACTGCGAAGGAAAAAGAGAGATATCTTAGGCCAATCCGAGATCTAGTTTGGGATGTACCTGCGGTTGAAAGACTTTCACGAGAGGGCATGAAATTGATGTTGCTTGGAGACGGCGCTTGTGCACTCGAGCAGCGGTTGCGCGCGACGGAACGTTATTTGAATTCTCGCGGGAATGGAAGACTCACAATCTACTTATTGGGCACATTTCCAGTTTTCACGCCAACAGCGACGACGCTCGACTCACTAGTCGAATTCAGCACTACAGGACATTCTAACCCTGTACGGTTTATTTGTGACAAGTATCAACTGGGCCGCGTTCGCGCTGTTTCAGACATAAATGCGAAGGGAGACTTTCTTATGAGTTTTAGTGCGCCAATGCAAGCGTCTCCCAATCCTATTAAGGGATCTTGGTATAAGGTAGACGATGTTCCAGATCGTACAGTTGATTTGTGGGTGTATGTGCCTTCTTTGCGCGACCGTTTTCGCAAAGAAGTTAGGCTAACACCACTGGACGCGCTGCGGATGATGGGAGCAAACCCACTATCCGTGTCACTACCGCGTTTTCCTCTAAAACCAACGCTCATTACGACGTGTATAAAAAGAAACACTCGCGGTGCAGCACATAGTGCTTCGCTTAGTTCACTAGGTTTCATATTAACAATGAGCCAGCTATTTCATCTATATACCGGAAGCTGTCGGTTAAGGAAATGGTTGCTCACAACTGCGGGTATACAGTTGTTAGATTTAACTACCCTAGATCAGTTTTCAAACGATGAGGTTTCTGCGCGCCAGCTGGTCGCACACTATAGAACATTTTCGTTTAGTGTTGATTCGGGCTCGCGCGCAGCGATCGATTTCACGCAAGTGCCAAACATACAGCTCTTCCTTGAAGTAGCCAACTTTAGCACCCTAGGCTGGAGAGTCACTCTAAGTTAATATTTGAGTCGCTGGAGGCAGCGATCACCGCAGGGCCAAGGATCACGTGATTAGCATCACACTAAAACCTCGTCATCAGTGATAGTACTCTAGACGATAGAAGGGCTGGTTACATAAGATGTGCATGCTTCGTACTATTTTAAAATATGTGCACGATATAACATATAATTGCGAACTAGTTACGGGGTCAATAGTAGTTCTATCTAAGTCTAGACCGCTTACTTAACTATTCTAGATAGCCCATAGATAAATATCTGCTGCTTAATTAGTAGCCTACCTGCATAAATAAAAGTCCTTACAAAAATACATTTCTTAATAGAGTAGTCCTTAAAATGTTAGGTTTTGGAATATATAATGCAGGTTAGAACATAGTCTTTACTAGTCAAGTCTACAGCCTAGAATCAGATTTTCACTTAACCTCAAAATGCGATATCATCATTGGTGTTTCATGAGCGCATTCTTAGGAAATGTCCTCGCCCAATCAACAATGACGATTAATCTTCAGCACAATAGGGTTGAACAACCTGATTGCCCACGAAGGGTAGGCAAAATATTAGGCGCTTATAGTTAGAACTAACAGGTAGTTAAAGTTGCACTTCTGCTCGGAGACGGCATGGAGGCAATGTGCTGCTCCAATTATATCGTCGGACCGCTGCGTCGCCGCCGATAGGCTTAATGATGTCGCTTCTATTGCAATCGACTTAGGTTTATGCTGCCAATTCTTTAGGTATATCCGATCTTATGTAAAGTCTATAAGTAAGCCTCTAATTTTCTAGTGATGATACATGCAATACGGTATATAAAGTTGGAGAAGAAGAGGGGCAATGGTATCCTGGCCTAAAGGAAGTGTCTAGTACTTTTAAAGAGGGAGTAGGCAGTTACATGTGCAGAAATGGGACTACTTCATCGATTTGTCCAGGGGCAGGTGCTGGAAATTTGGTCATTTCCAACAATGCGGCTACTCCCACCATTCTCACGACATCTTCTAAGATTGTCTAGCACACAGCTGCTTATTATCTAGACTCTTCTTTGTTATCAGTTAATCTGGCTCCTGTAACTAAGTGCGCAGAGCTAGTCGTATAGCTGTTATGCATCCTTACTACACTTTTCTAGAAAATAGAATTTGCTGAGTACATCTTATGTCCTACTAGTCTTGAACTACAAAGCGTTTGATTGAATAATAAACTTCCATACTGCTAAGCCAAACGAGAGGACTAGCTACTTTCTTCCAGCGTGTTGTATAGACTACGGACATATTGAATAAAATCATCCACATTTGTTGCCACCATTTCCTCCAGTAGTCGATCGTAGATAGCCTTGATCACATCTGACACTTTGACCACGTTCGACTGTACTGCTGAAGCGTGGTCGACTATTGCTTGCTGTTGCTCCATGAGATATTGTTCTATCTCTCTATCCGCTGGTGTTGCCTTGTCTGGATTGTTAAGATCCTTCAACAAGCGGAGGACACCTATAACAATCGTCCTACTGAGTTCTAGGCTGGTCTTTGAAAGACCTTCTAGCGGTAATTTCGTCTGGGCTATAGCGTGGCCTTTATAAATAGCCACTTCCTTCTTCGCCTCCTTGGCGATTTTGGTCTGTTCTACCGTCCTCGGTAGGCTGTCAGTGGCAATGCGTTCTTTGTCTACAATCTCTTTTTCTAGTTGAGCGTTTCTCAAGATAAGCTGCTCTTGTTCGGCCTTTAGACTCTTGATATCTGCTAAGTATCCTTTATCTCTCTCGGCGTTTTGCAAGTCTCTAACCTCTTTTTTCAGCTTAGTTACCACTTGCATCGAATTCTTGTCTTTTTCTTTGTGATGCTCGGCCTGTAAGCGGAATTCCTCAGCTTTAGCGAGTGCAGCTTGATGTTCGCTTCGAAGTCTCTCCATCTCCCCAATAGTCTTGCTCAAATTCTTTTCTACTTCCTTCAGCTCTCTTGCCATATCGGCAGTATTTCCAAGCTTTTCTAGGCGTTGTTTTTCTTTCTGAACCGTTCGAACAGCACGCATGCTGTTTTTGGCCTCTGAGCGAAGTTTGTTATTCGTTGTAACAAGTTGGTGATTTATCTTTTCGAGTCGTTCTTTATCGCTTCTAAAGGCACGCTTGAGCTCGTTATGCTGGACTTCCTTTAGCAGAGCACTCGACTTCATCTCTTTTATTTTTTTGATCAGCTCTGTTGTAGGTTCATCATTTGTGACTCCAGCATTAGTCTTGGTGACAGCACTCTGGTGAAGACTCTTTGCTCCAGTATTAAGGCTCACAGCGCCCTGACGCCATTGGACTCTTGACCAGTTCTCGGCAGCGGTTCGGTGGTGGAAGAACGCAGTTGCCTGCTGGTAAGCCTGCTGTTCTTGCTCTAATCGATTTTGGACATATGCAATGTTGGATTGTAGACAGTAGATATAATGGTTGAGATTGACGATTGTCTCATTAGCCATGATTGCCTGAGAACTTTGGGCTTGGAGTTGATATTCGTAAATGCCATTCAGCGTACGCGCTTCGAAAAGTTGGTGCTGAGTTTCTTGAAGCTTGCTAAGAACTTGATAAACTTGGTTCTCTAACTCTGTGTTTCGCTGGTTCACAGACGCTATAATTTGTGCGGGCTTCATGCTGAAGATCTTGCTTGTACTGGACCTGGTTGGGTAATGTATAGTCCTCGTTTGTGGAAGTTAGGATCAGTAGATTTTCGCGAAAGTTGAGATAAAAAGTAGGTAAATTTATATAAGATATTTTTCTTATCGTGTGGCGTAATGATCAGGAAGTTAGAGGTATACTAGGGAGAGTAAAGCAACTGGTTACGGCGTTGAGCTAGCGGTGAAAGGCCTGCAATGGTTACTCAATTTTCTGTTGGAAAATATCTCAAATTACTTCGATTAAGTTAATTCGATCGGGCTCAGCCTAGCGCTCTAGTGGGCGCCAAGAGGCAAAGCCTTAGAGAGCTGTTAACGTGTTCATACTGCCTAACCAAATAATGTGCATAGACGAAAGAGGCAATTTTAATAACTAATTGAAGCAGCTATCATACACGCGTTCTCTAGCGTCGCGAGTTGGTTGCGGACCTTCTTTTCTTTATACTTCTTGCAAATGCTAAAAATATAGGAGTACTCGAGATTACAACCTTGCGTATATCATCTAACACCCCGTATTCTTCTACGACATTGAGTGTATTGGTTCCTGCTAGTCTCCTCTGAATCCAGTACTGTGCAAGCCTCACAATTGCATTTTCTGGTCGGGCCCGTCGAGACTTGTACTGCTGTAGCGTTCCCTGGGACACATCGTGCCATGTATTGTCTCTCAAGATGGTTGGAGGTTGAGCCTGAGAACTTGCAAGGTCAGTATCTTCTGGCGTTGCTAAGTCTCTAGTTGGAGTTTCGAGTTGCCCAATTTCTTCACAAAAATCTCTACTAAGAGATGAGATAGCCTTTGCAATAGCAGCATTGGCTTCACATAGCTCCCAGATGTGTGGTACGAGCGATTCAGTAGACGCTTGACTTATAGTTTGTAGCGCAGCCCTGATGTTAGGGGTGTTGTTCGCCATACCAATAGATCAGGATGCAGGAGCTGTGGAGTCTGCGTGTTTCCAATATAGGATGAATATATACTCTTAGAAATGGCAGTAAGATGCATCATTGCGAGGTGCAATTAAACTGCAGCAAGCCTAAAAAAAGGCCCTTGACTCGATTAATAAATACTCATGCAGATCCACAAGGTGACTTGACGTCTTGGAGTGGTTTCACTAGCTTTTTCTTAGTGAGATCTTGACTGAGTACAAGACCATTCAGGTACGTTCTGTCTTGTAAAACTGTTGCTAATTAGGCTCGGATCACGACAGTATTAAATCGACAATATCTAGGGTGTAAAATCTCTTCTTTTGTCGACCATAGGACTCGCGTGAGTGGGTTCATTGATAGCATTTCCTATGACCAGGTTCTTAGTGTTTCGCGAGCTAAAATACGATAACAAGGTGAGATTGTATAAGGCTTCGCATATCTTCAAAGCAGGAAGTAGCTGAAAATATACATACACCTGAATGTTTCTGTTATATGACTACTCATATCAACTCGTACGCTTCGACTAGCTCCTTCCACTGCATTGAGTCTTCTAGTGACCAAACCTGATTCAAAGTCTCAAGATTTTGAGACAAGATTGAATGACGTGGGAGAAACTTGGACAACCTTTTGATAGTATAACGATAAAGTTTATCCATATCCTCATCTGTGAGTTTTGTTTGCTCAGCGATCCATGGATGAATTGCAGAGAAACGAAGAGCACGCAAAAGTAAGGCTTTCTTGAATAGTCTAGAGAATGTTAGTATTAGAGATAGCTTGTTAATGATTGAGCAACTTGCGTATGGCCAGTGTTCACAGGGTTACTCAGCATTACTGTGCTACAACTTGGGTCTTGATACATCTCGTACGTGCTATTAGTAGCCGCACCAACACGGTCAAAGCAGACGATACTGGAGTGAGTGAACATCACCCAGGTGGCGACGACTTTGAGAATCCATTGCTGGCCTTTCGATAACTGAGCTTCGGTAGAGGGGACATGGACTTGTAGTGTAATACCCATATATGGCCTCAACAATTTAACCATACCTTCGCAGTACTCTGCTTGTAGCGAAGCTACGAGAGGATCAGTTGGTGGAGGCCCAGGATCTTTCCAGGCCATTTGTGAGCTTAGAGTCGATCTCCAATCTTCCAAAGTGATAATTTGCACATCTGTGATACTCCCAAGAGTGCACAAGGTCTTTTCACCTATCTCCCTCGTTGTGGGGAGATGCGGACGCACACAATCGTGCAAAGTATCAAATATGTTTTGGAGAGAAACCTTTGTCCATAAAACCCTTTCAGGAAACTGTCCAACGGTCGTCCCGAGCCAGGGAACAGGAATAGTGCGGTTTCAAGCAGTTGTTAATACCGCTAGAAGGAGAGTTAGAAAAGTACGCAAACTTGTATTGGCAACTGACTTTACTAGAGTCTGACAGATCCAGATACTCCTTCCTGCCTCTTTAGTCAAAGAAGTACTGGTGCATGCTGTTAGCCTAAACTTTTACGTAATAACAACTAGTCTTACTTCTTAGCAACGTCTCTATACATGTCGCGAGCGTTGGAAACGTACACAATGCTATCTTGAAGCATTCCGTTCCGGTTTGTCCATAGTGCGGCCAGAGTTAAGGCCTGCATAACCAGGATGTCGCGCTCTCCAAGTTTATACTTAAACATATCTTTCGCGTACGAGTAGTACACTGAGCCTGGCAAGGGACTTGAGCTTCCTATACTATTGGTAGTTGATTGAAGGCTTCCTAATGCAAAAAAGAGGAGTACACAGGCATTCCTTGGATTCGGGATGATCCCTTTCATCATTTGGAGATCATTGATGAATTCGTCGCACATCTCCTGAGGATTGTCAAAAAGTGGGTGCAGAGTATGCACATTGGTAACATAGGACAGAGAAAGCCGGTGTAGCTCTTTGCTCAAGAAAGCTTCAGTTCCGTGGCCTCGTTGAGGGTCAATTGGTATAACTGAACGACCTCTGCAGAGCCCTTCTAATTCGCCGTGTGTACCGTGAAGCTTCTTGTACCCAGCACTAGGGAGATTTTCCAAGTTGGGCAAAGATCTTGGCTCTCTATAAGGTGTTAACAAGGCTGATAATCCCACTGAGAAGCGACATACGTGGCGGGTTCAATGCCATAATACACGCACTCAGTGCCGCGACGACAGCATCTTTTGCATGGAGAAGCTCTATTGCATTTCACCTTGCGAGTATAGCATGACTTGCAAGCTCTTATAACTCGAGTCCTGGAAGTTCTCCTTGATTCTTTGTTGGTGGAACTGGAGTTTTGATCCTGCGCATCCGGAGCAGATAGAAGAGACATCTCGCTAAAAACTAAGGCTATAATTGAGCCAAGATGCAAAATTTTAGAGAGGCAATACTCTGTAAGAACGTCAAGAAGCGTCTAAATGAACGCAGAAGATAAAGAGTGGTTAAGGAGTAGCAACTGATGGTGGCCAAGGTTGTCAGAAATCCGGAGTAAGTGCAATTTATGAGAGTGGAAGCTCATGCCAGCACGGATGCAAGGTTAGACGTCTACAGCTATCAAATAATGTTCATCACTAATCTATTGAATGGAAAAGCATTTCACTGCTCATATCGCTACTGAACGCCACCTTTCTCCACTATTTTCCTCCTGCTCCTTTCGGCTCAACTATCTGTCACGCTAATGGCTCTCGTGACATGCTAGGGACCAAACTCGCCCGTATCTCACCTCAACAATTGCAATCATGACATAGTCCTATTGGTTGGGAAGCACGATCTGCTTGAAGCGACCTAGAATATCACCGTTTTGATGTGGTTGGAGGAAACCCGCATATGATAGCATAGAGAAGATGCTGATGGAAAGTTACGCTGTATGAATACAACACTATATTACAAGGTGACTTATGAGTCAAGAACAGAGCGAAATTCTGCTTCAATCACTGCAGGGCAGTCTTCCAATCGAATCTCTTCGCCTGCTCTGCTAGGGAAACCATCTGGTAGAATGCCCTGATAAACAGGGTATTCGATATCCATGCGTTTCTCTACAGGAGGCGAGCATGATTCGCATGCTTTGAAGTGGTCTAGAACAGGGTTTGGTGTGAGTGCCTCATCGGAAGTAGCATAAGCAGGTATAGGCATATTTACCGTAGATACTCAATGATCTATGTCTCAACCAAGCTACTCTTTTTGCAGTATATGACTTCGTCAGTTGATCGACGCTCACTATCTGCAATGGTAGCTTCTGTCGATCGATACGAAGAGGTGGAATGTAGCTCTAGGAAGCTGAGCTGGCGACTAGACTTAGACCTTCCCAGGCCTAGGATACACGAAAAGAAACATGAACGCAGCCACTTCAGTACGATTTCGCCGCTGAAATGACTAGCATCATCTCTCCTACCGGGTGGGCAACATCTCTTACTAAACTCCTCGACTCTTTCGACTGTTTCCTCATATGCTTCCGTACGACAGAAGTCCATTTGGCGGAAATTTTCCACTGTGAGTACCTTGACGTCCTCGACTCGTCTTATCGAGCAGTAAGGCGCTAAGGGTCGCGAGATCCTTATTCGAACATGGTGGGTACCGCTCGCACACCAGACATCATGGAAGTATGTAACATAAGGCTTCTGGTCATCCGATGGCTTAAATTCGATGCGTATGTGCTCGGGTGTGTCGTCATGGGATTCCGTTACATGGTGTACCCAAGGCTCATGGCAGGGAAATTGGCGCGGGCAATAGCGGCATGGGAAGTTCCTAGCCCCTGTGATATGTCAGCTCTCAAAGTTTCTAACTGTGAGTTTGGTTGGAAAACAAGTGTCTTACAAGTGTGGGAAGAGACCGGTTTCTCTTCGCGTGATCGCTGGTCTGAAAGGTTAAGCTGAAAGGTCAGTTCCGTTCTTGTCCTTCGGATTTCGGATTGGAGGATTAGTGACAAATCACATACTTGAGGCGCAGATGCAGGAGCTTGAGCCATTCTAGCGGTAGATCAGGTTCGCAATAAGGCGTCGTTTGCACGCTTGCTGCAGGCAGGCAACCGGTGAGGGTCTGAAAGGGCGGTGAGGCAACGGATGAAGGACCTCTTAGCCTCACACGAAGGGTACATGATATATGGATACTTCAGCCACCAGATTGACAGCATTTGTCAGTTGTTCCCGACACTCAGAGGCCACTGTCGGACAGGTGGCGCTTGCCGACGAACGGCATAAACGGTACGGGGCAATCCACGCGGCACGCCTCCAATAGCTTGGCTAGGCGCTGGAAGCCATCATCAATCCGAGCAAGAGAGATGTTACCCATGACACAGTGAATAATACTACAGGAGCGCATTGTTGACTTACGCTGTCCCGAGATTAGCATGACAGACTTGGTGATAGTGGGTCTCATCACAGATTGCGTGGCCTAAGGTTATTGAACACTACGCTAGTCAAAACCACATAGGGCGATACTGCGGGTTTGGTATGATGAAGCGATCAGCACATGCAGGAAGATCGTTCAATGAGGCAGTTGATGCGTTAGAAGTGAGGTTACTCGGCCCGAGCCTCCGGGAACGACGATGTGAGCACTCGTAGCGTGAGTGAGTAGAGGTGCAGGCTCTCGAAGTGGATACTGACAGTATGCACTTGCCAATCATCACGATTGAAATCAGTCTTCAATCTTAGCTAGAAACTGCATTGATTCGTCCGGGCCTTGAATCTATACATAATTCAAATCGTTTTGCAAGAGCGATGTCAGCTCCTCCTCTAGTCGCAAAGAGAGGAGCTTTTGGCAATCCTCTAAGCCAAAGCACCGATGCGGGGACGTCACACAAACGCCTGCCACGACTAGACTATCTCTCTCTACCAATGACAAGGGAAGAAATGCTGAGTATTCAAAGTCGTCTCTTGAGATAGGGTGAAAGTTGATGAGTACGCAGGGTTGGCCTTTGTTAGTCCATACAAAGTGGACCCTCGTGTCTTTTTCCACCTCCGAAACGGCATGCTCATCAATGGCCTTAGCCTGTAGTTGTACGAGCTGGTCGGAAATAGACTGGAACTTCACTGGCACAATTATTGTGTATTTGGCGTCCCTCGGGAATTCAATGAACGCTTCAACAGCATTCGCCGCCTGTTTTTGGATCAGCGGTGGTATCAACAGGGCTTGCCCACATACGATCGCGTTGTCGACAGGTACCATAGCCTGAGCCATCTGAAAGTGAACGTCGCGCAGATAGGTAGCCGGTGAGGGTCTGAAAGGGTAGCAAGGCAAAACTCAAAGGATATTTCAGCCTTGTCGGTTTCGTAGATATATTTACGTCAAACTTCAGACCTTACTCTCTCCTAAGCCTTCAACCCTAGCGACACCAAACCTAGCATGGAATAGCTTAATCGAGACATCCATAGTAACGGACGAGGAGTGAACGTGGGTACGAGTCTAGAATACCTTGAGCGGCAACTTCATGCAGGGCTGGCGAAAAAGAAGCTGGCATGGCAGACTTGGCGATATTAGGCCCTTCACAGCTTACGAGGCCTGCAGCGGAAAGGCCTCTGACTGAATGCTACGCCGATCAGATTCATGTGGGGCTATACCGCGGGTTTGGTAAGCCGATAAAGCCACTATTGGATGGTCATTCGATGAGGCACTTAATACGGCAGAAGGGAGGTTAGGCGACCCAAGCCCAGGAGCAACGTCGTGAACACTCTTGGCGAAGCATGTTCTCAAAGCGGCTTAGTTTCAATCCCAGAACTGGGACTCGAAACTTATCCCCTTCGAGACCACCACAGTTGCACCTGCAAACCTCGACGCCCACTCTCGAGAGAAATGGCATTATCTAGATCTCGCACCGATTTTGCAATAGCTCTAGATTCCTTTACACCGTCTAATGTCTTGAGAGACGAAGTAAGTAAATCCCAAAAAGTAAGAAATAAAAGGTAACAAGAGTGATCAAGGTCTTGCTTGCAAGTGTGCATCGATTCTTCAGAAGAGGAACGGCAGATGAGTGTTTTAGACTGCTTCCAGAGGAGTTCAGGTCTGATAAACCATCCAAGCGGATAAATTCTCTCCGGACCCCGGTCCCAGCCACACCGCAGCCACACCAATCACGGGACACTCTAATCTCGGCGGAAAGATACTTCCGAACTTTAGTCCCAGACAAAGGGAACAGGTTCAAAAGATTAGTAAAGGTTGCTCAACGTATTACTGAGTTTCGAATCCAGGAGAGTGTTGATCCAGGCAGAGTCTACGATGAAGACTCGATCGTGGAAACCCCAATCATACGGACAGGGGCGGTTGTCGGTCCAGGCAGCATCTCCGAGGAAGACTTGATCCTGAAATCCTCAATCGCGCGTGCAGAGGCGATCTTCGAGAAAATATCTTCAAAGCAAGATACCAAAGCATACCGATACAACCTTCTCTACTTCAGCAATGCGGTAGATCAATACGAAAGCCTGCAACTAGCAGTTTCACAAGGACGAGGCAACAAATCGATCGCTTTTGATAAGATTTCCAGGGGGGATCAGAAAAAGAGAGAGATTGCAAAAAGAACATACGCTGATGCCTCTCGATATTTAAGATGTTCAGAAATAGGAGGTCCAGGTTCTCTTTTGTCAATAACCGCCGCCAAATTCGAGTAAGCATGGAAAGTCTCAAATTTGACCACTGCTAATGTATAGAAGGATGGAAAATCTTAACAACGAAGACATCCAATTACTGTGCAATTATCGCAAGGCTCATCCTTCTATCGAAAAACAGTCCAGGTCTTTGGATTTCACCGTGGTAAACGAACTTGTCAAAGGTCTTTTGGCACAAGGCATTGAGAGCGTCGATATCACGAAAGGACTTACCCGTTTGACAAAACTCCTTTGCCGTTATGTAGATACGAAGTCACTTACCGAGGACGGCAAGGTGCTCCCAAAACTTGTCACCGCAGACAGCAATGAATACCACAATGGTGCTTCACAATCGCCAGTAGGACTTGAACCTGGAACAAATGTCAGACTCTCTACTCATACCGTTTCTCTTGAACAACAAGGACCTGTACCCATCTCTCATGCTCTGCAAAGCCAGCAAACATATCATGCTGCAGAGCCGCACACGAACATCGCCAAACGACGGAGGATGTCCGGAAATGAAAGGCCGCAGCTCCCCACGATATGCTCAGTTCTAACGCCAGAAAATGATAGGAGTATAGCACAAGCAGAAGGTCAGGAATCCTCAATGGATACCTTGATCTACTCAGAACAGCAGCACAACACTGTACCACCTTGCGAACAGGTGAGCAATATAGAGCAAGGGAGAGCTAGCATAACTTCTCTTGTAGAGGCCCAAGGGGAGCTTGTACCAATTTTAGTAGAAATGGAGGTAGGCCAGTAGCCCACAATATCATCTGCTGATCAAGCTGACTATGGACAGGACACAAACCTGCCCTCTTATGGGTTGTCAGATCTGTTAGGACATGATGAAACAAGCTATTGTTTCGGTGAAATTTAAATCAGATTCAGCTACAAGTTGAAAAGTCTTCACCGACGAGCTGTCATTCGCCACATCTGGTGATGCTATTCGACTTTGGATGTGAGACGAGGAACGAGGAGAAAAGGAACTAGTTGCGGTGCCATCTCCAAACTGGCATTCTGTAGTACCAGGCAAAGTGAGTCTGACTGTAATGGTGCCTCGCTTCTTAAATTGGGAGCCGTAAGACTTTGTACAAGGAGCTTCTTATTCATGTCTGTAACGCTGGCAGGTTTTGACGTGGGGTCCATCTCTAGGATGCGATGAATTATCGCCTCGTGTGTTTCCTTATCTATGGGAAGACACTGAAGGAGGAAAATTTCGTCATCACTTGTGTGGAGCCTGGCTTCGTGAAGGAGTAGCACCGCGGCCCGGGGATATGCGTTTTCATGCGGCTCCGGCTCTCGGACCGCTCTACCAGTTTTCGTTACAAGGTCTTTGTATTCCTTGTGCATTGTCATTATCTGCAGTAACATAACGTGACTGCCTGCTTACGCTGTTGAGAATATCGCTGCGAAGTCTTTCAAATTCTGAGATCCACCTGTATGCGAAAACCCCGTCTTTCAGCTTCGTTATGCCCTGTAGACGGGATTGGGATCTCAAGAGCGGTGCGATCTCTTCAAGATCCTTTTGCAAAGCTGGTGTTTTCTTAAGGTTTGCAAGTAATGGCACTCCAATACCCTTACAGGTCGATTCTCCGCTAGCCTCGTGATGAGACATGTTTTCGATACGTAAAAGTGCAACTAGAAATGTTGGTATTCAATTGTAGTTAGCGATGCCTTATACTAAGGAACATGACCGAATGTTGGGTGCAGCGAGCGCTATGTGGGAAGTAACCGTGCACGTCCAGGGCCGACCTCGCTCCGGACACTTGGCACCAATGACCCACATAGTAGCGCAAACACGGTAGCTAGGAACACTTAACCCGCTTATCACATGCAATCTTGATTCGCCACTCTTCCAGATTTTTCAGCATCACATGCACAGCCTTTTTGTTCCTAAGTGACTGAGTAACCTCAAGATCTATTCTTTCCATTACTACTAGATAACTACCCCACACTAGCTAACCAACGAGCGATAGGACGCTACACCTTGACAATAACATTGCACCAAACACAATAACTTGTAGATATACTATACACCATTTGTTACGCGCTTGTCGCCACTAGTCGAGCGCGCTTGAGCATTATCACTTCGTAGTCCTAAATCTGCTGTTGTATAAGAAGGACAACTGCTGGAAGCTCTATTTGCGGGTTGTTCGTGGCTATTGAGCGAAGTGGATTGCTGTGAGGTGGTGGGCTGGCTTGCGGAAGGATTGATGTTATGTCGGGCCGGCTCTTGGGAATTGGACATAGCGACTCAATAAAGACTGTCGTGAAGTCAGTCCGTGGCAAAAGTAACTGCTGCTCCGACTTTACTAACTCGAATCTAGATCCTGTGCTTGTTACAGAAACCCGAGCTGTTGACCAACATAAGAGGCTGTCTTAGTTCTTTTGAAAAAAAAACTTTACAACGTATAGTAAAGGCTGTAGAAGATATATCAAGCGTAGCAGTGACCACTGCACTGTAAAAATATGAGAAACAAATAGGATATGGAGTGCACGCGTGGGATTTGTCGAGGTATCGAAGGCCTTGGAAAAAAAATGCCTGAGCAAAGTGGATGTGCTATGCAAGGTGAGGAGCGGTGACCTTGAGAAACTGATAAACTGGAGATTGACCAAGGTCCTTTATACTAATACCTACAATCCTACGCACACTTGACTCTCCTTCTATTGCCTACAACCACGCCTCTCCTCTACGTTATTACGATCAACCGTATTCAGAAGTGATAACCGAGGGCCATATCCTTAGATCAGACTAAGACCTGCATTGTCTGCTGTTGCATCTTCAAATCTACAGATGCTTGCAAGAAAGAGGGGGCTCACAGACTGAATCGGGCCTCGGCATGAAATGAGGCGGCTAACATGCCAGTATGCATAGACCATTACCGCATTAGCCTCCTCCTCAAGATGCAGGTTGATTGTTGCTTCTGACGACCGTTGTTTGAGTAAATTGGACTTCAGATAGCTTATTTCTGCGGTAGTATATCCCGATCTCAATGATAACAACAATTACTAGGCGGATCTTGCTGCTAAGATCCTGTGGAATTGACGTTGATATTAATGGTACACAATAATCACAGTATAGAAATAAGGGCGAAGACAAGGAAAGCACAGGGATGCAAAGCAGGGGAAATCAAAAGTAGAGAGAAGCGAAGCGAAGAAAAGCGAAGCGAAGAAAAGCAAAGCGAAGAAAAGCAAAGCGAAGAAAAGCAAAGCGAAGAAAAGCGAACCGAAGAAAAGCGAACCGAAGAAAAGCGAAGCGAAGAAAAGCAAAGCGAAGCGAAGAAAAGCGAAGCGAAGAGAAATATCTTACTACCTTGTAGAATTAAGCGACCAAACCTATGCCTCTTCTTTGCGATTGATGGCCTTAGCACCGAGGGCAAAATTGATGACCCTAGCCAGCTCACCCAAATATGTCCGCACATGATATCTACAAATGGCTCGCGCACTCATTCCAAGGTTCTTCATCCGGATACCGCACGTGATCTTACGCATTTGGAAAGTGGGGCAGGCATAGCGTGGAGGGGTAGTTGCCGCCTGAGAAACTCTCATATGATCTCTTTTGGGCACCAACAAGAATCTGTATATACGCATCTTTTCTCTCACCTAGCCGCCAGTTAACCTGTACAGCTACCCCAGCGTGTTGTTGTTGTAACCGTTTTATGAAGTAAGTAATTATACTTGTACTTTAGACTGCGCTGACCTATTGCGCATCTCGTAGCTATCATTTGAGACGGATTTGAATCACTACTGCTCGAGCCTTCGAAACGTGTGCTTCGTTTCTTCTTGCATCTACCAGGAAAAGCTGCTTCATCGCGGACTGTAGGACGACCATCCTACAATTCAGCCAGTCCTCGCTTTGACACACGTTGAAAACATTCATCCGCTCAAATCTCCAACTTTAGAAGATCTCGGAATCAAGGAGCCCGTGCGATCCAACAACTTTTCGCTAATGCCCGAGGTAGAGTCGACTCAGCACATTCCCCAACGTTTATCTAATGGACTTCTTCTTAGAAAGACCAAACCACAAACGGAGATTACGAATATATCAACTACCATACGTTCGAAGCAGTCGATTATGACAGATCTATGTCTTGGGAGGCTGGCGATGGCATGGTACATGTTGGTGTGAAGGTCATGAAACCACAGAAGACCGATGTGGACAACAACAACATCACGCTTCTTGAAGGGCAAAGTGTGATCGTTTACCGGATGAAGTTCAAATTGGCTAAAAAGGCTGTTGTTTAGGATACGCATTCGACCATATTTCAGTACCATATTCAAAACTGATCAATATTGCCAGCTTGCTATCGTGATCACGGTCTCTGCCATCAGGAAATGAGATCCTAGCGGCGCTGCTGCGTAATATGTTTCTTTCCTCTTCCGACTTCCTGAATTTGCTTTGTAGCATTGCCGTATAGAGGGAGTTCCCTAGTATGGTCTCCCACTCTTCGATCGATGTCATGTGTTTTACTTTCTCCGCAATTGATTCTCCAAGTGGTAAACAAAGCCAGATCTCCAATCCAAAATCCTCATTCTCTTCGAATGGAGGTAGCATGCGCACGGCATCAGTGAGCCTTAGACCATTCCTTTCTTCTGCTTTTCTTATGCAACTTTCTTGTATACCATTCGAAAGGTAGGCTCCAAGATAACGGCTAAGCTGGGACACGTCATACCACTGCACTGTTCTAGTAAAGGCAGCCCAAGAAGCATCCTTAGGACGGCTTAACAGCCTCAGCAGACGGGCATGAGCGGCGGCAGAGAGAAGCCAATCTTCTCGATCTCGCAGATTCGGAATGCTCTGGGCCGCAACCATGAACGCTCTCTCTACTGAAGTTTAGTCCCAGACCAAGACAAGAAAGATGAACGTACCAAGTGCATCTGCCGCACCTTGTTCGGCAGTAGCCACGTGTTGTCTGGCAGTAGCCGCTTCGATTGAAAGTTCTTGACAACCACTAAATGCGCTAGCGGCTTTAGTGAGTGATGGAGGATGCGAAGCCGCAGCCCACCATTGGTTAAGTTTGTGTATGAGGTCGCTTTTTCGATACAGTGATGCCATATTGTCGACCGTCCTTGCTACTAAGACAACGCATAGCAATACTTCAGGGCCTAGCTCCTTACGAATTGCTATGGCAATGTCATGTGCACGACTTCGCATACTTCGGCGTCCAGAAGACATGTCGCTCCAGGACGATGCATCTTCCTGTAGAAGGTCGTTAAATCGTTGAATGATTGTGGTTGGAGGCTGTTGGTGCATAAGCCCTTCGAAGGTGTGTCTCGTATTCTCTATTTTCGCGTATAGGGTATCGTCGTCCAACATGCTGTGAGCATCAAACTATCACTAAGAGCGAAGAGAAGAATTGCCAAGAGAAGGGAGTAGAAGTGGAGGAAAGAGAAGCGAAGAGAAGCGAAGCGAAGAGAAGAGAAGAGAATCGAGACCTGCAACGCTAGTTCAGATCCGTGCTAGGCTGCAGAACCGGGACAACGGATGCCGTGCCAAGTCGTATCTCCCATGTTCTCTTCTTCGCACGTGGCATATTGATCGATACTTTCCAGCTTGGACGGATAGACGGATGATATGCCAGAATAACGCTGTACTGAGGCATGCGGCACACAATGCTTTACCTGAAGATCAACTGGCCATAGTTTGCATCATTATACGTGCGCCGGCGAACACTGGCACAGCTGCATCAGCCTCTGCAAGGCTCCACTGCCGATCGCAAGTTAGACATTGGCTTTGTGGACGATCCGAACGCCAGCGTAAACTCGAAGTGTTAATGATCACATACCCTTATACCCAGAGAGCTCAAGAGCAATCCGTTAGCCAACAAAGCGTCCAAGGTGTGGCTCGACCTTGGTCGATATGCGAGGGAGGTGCTCGCCGCATAAGACAGCCGCCGGTTTGTTCTTAGCTTGAGATACTATCACCCTAAACGGTTTGTGTGGGCACGCAGGATGACTTTATCTGCGGGAACGTGCGACAAGGTCTTGATATAACGAAAGTGACAAACTACAGGCAAGGGAGCATGATACCATATCCAAGCACAGTTCGCTCACTCTGAAGAAAATGTCGAAGCAGAAGCGCTGCTGGACGGAAACGATCCTCGAGTTGCACGAACACATCTTTACCACCTAGCAAGCGAACCCATTCGGGCTCTCCTGTAAAGGGAGGAAGGGTAATAGTGGATCGAGCGCACTGCCGCGTTATAGTCCGAGACTGTGGGAAGCCTATATATGGCGAGTTCCAGGACTAGCCTTCTGGCTGCGATAGAAGGCTGCATCGCAGGATACGAGTCGTTGTATACGTAGGTCAGCATGCTTCAATGCGATATCTCCCCGAACAACCTTATGGTGAATTGGGATAAGGACAACCCTCCTGGCACGCCTTCTTAATTGACCTAGACCTTCCTATCAATTGAACCAAAAGCTTTACATATTTTTAGCAAAAGGATGGTATTAGAAAGATCTGGAATTTTTCCCTTGCGACGAAATCAACAACCACTGCCCACTAATCAGCGAAGAAAGTCCCCAGATTTCAAGTAAGCTTCAGATGATTGAATGATGTTTTTCTATGCTGCACAATCCGAACAAAAATGAGAGCTACTAGACTAATTAACATCGGCATAGCTCTACGAGCGTTTCTTCAATGCGTAGTAGCGCAGTTTTACTGCACCCGGCGACCGGCTAGGGAAGCGTTCACATACCTCTCCCCACTCCATGCCCTGTTTATCCTTTAATGAGAGTAAACGCACTTCTTCTGACTTTAGCCATCGCTTGTGCGTCCGTTGGCTATGTCCTCTCGTATCCTCTTCTCCATTCTCATCCTCTTCGTCATAGCCGTCGTTTGAGCGGTCCGTTCCATGACTAGCAGTGTCATTGTAGGCACTGCTCATCCAATTTTTGTTCAAGCTTCCGCGATTACAGAGGTCTGCAGCACTGCCGTTACATTGATACCCTACCAGTACCCATGAATTCGACGATAGCTGGGTCAGGCGGATGACTTTGCCCCGTTCGCCGAAGACGTTGTGACTTAGGGCTACTAGGTCGAGAGAACGATTTGGATTATCATAGCGCAATGTTGCAAATACGACCGAAGAGTCATTTGGAATAGTGCAAAGCGTTAGATCGGTGATTTGACAAGACATGCCAGATCCAGACTCAAGGTCCATATTGGTTCCATCTTTAGCTGTTGTGCCGAGAGAATTCGATTCTGAAAAGCGAGTTTGAGACCCTTTATCGATATCAAGCCGCTCTGATATCGAACTTTGTTGTGATTGGCTCACTTTTACTTGTTGTGGTGGCTTCGGAGGTGTTGCATTGTAGTCCAACGTTCTAGGAGCAGTGTTTGATGGCCCACGTCCCGTCTCAGGTGTCCAATCCCTGCGTCTATGCCGTTGGGATATCGATGAAGGGATGCTGCATGAATCATTGCGGCTGGGTTTCTCTCCAGAGATTTCCCCAGTTTTGCTACCGCTGCCTTGTCTGTTCACCCCACCCCTACTGGGTTCTTGACCAATATCTTCTTCTAGCTCCAGTCCTTCGGGAAGAGTCATTGTTCCTTGTGCTTGCAGTGGCTCTTCGGCCACTCTCTGGACATAAGCGCCGTCGCGATGTTCTAGATCGTAGAGATCGGTTAGAGACAGGGCTGCACTTATGATACAATCTTCCTCGTGGACAATACCTAAAGGACTAGGGAAAGAGCCTTCATTAGTACTAAGATGGAAAGCATGGTTGTCAGGATGCAGCAGAGGCGTTGGTTCAGGCATATGTGTAGATTCGATCATGGAGCTCGGTGCTTGTCGCTCAGCCATCCTTTGCCGCTTCGATGGATGAGGATCATCAAGCTCTAGAACCGGCACAACGTTCGGCATTGCTTCCAGGGTTGTTATTGTGCCATCAACAACCGAAGATTGATGCGATCGTTTTTGGTTTTTTGACGATCCATTTCCCACACTAGCGATGCCGGAGAACGTTTCGTTCTCCACTAGTGGTCCTTCTTTGACTGTGTCAACGCGGCTCGGTGTACTGATCAGGCAATGCCACTCACCATGATAAGTACGTTCAACATCCTCTATAGGCAGAGCGTACTCTACAGCTGTATAGAGATCACCACGCTGTTTGGTGTGGTCTCTACCATTAGCAGTGGTAAGATACTGGCTTTTGTCCTGAGAATTGGGGGAACCGTTGTGGTGATTGCCAGTCGCGTCACTTTCGGTAATCGAATTGAAGTCTATCCGACATTAGTGAAACCAGCACCACAATCAACTTGAGTACTTGCCTCGACCGCCTCCATGAAACGACTCATTCAAGGTTAAATCCAATGTTGCGTGGTCCATCACTCCCTCATCGCACAACTTATGGCGAAGCTGATAGTGACTATCGCCCATTGCAAACTCATGGTTGCCTATTCTGTAGTCTGCTCCAAATCGATCGCACTTTTCCAAGTTCATGCCCTCAACATCTTCCACATGGCCTGTTGCCTGGACTTGAAGTGTCTGTTGAGGTACGGTGGGAAGGTTGCTTTCGCTTTCTAGGTACGACTCAGTCCGGATTGATTCGCTTACACGACTAAGAAGCAAGAATTACCTTGGAGTGGCAATCCTGAAGATTGAGTCGCTACTTCTCCATGATTTCTACGAGCATTCTGTCCGGTCTTCTTGGCCTTAGGCTTAGATTGCGTACTCTTGAGTAAAGTAGGGTTGTAATGTCTGAACTGAGATAAAGAGTTCTGAGGAACTGAAGTAAAAGTAGCCATGATGGGATTTTGATAGAATCTGATGAACTCTGGTTGAAAGATAGCTTAGTATCTGTAAGCTTAAGTAGAAAATCATTCAGTGAGCTAAGGCCCTCCCTAAGTGAGCAAACATCGAGCTCGGAACGCTAAATTGATTGCAGTAGGCTATCTTCGGTGTCCCCGAAGCGACCTTCTTCATTTAGCCGTGTCTTACTCTTGACTCCACTACTGCTGCGAAGGCTTCCAAGGGTTTGCATGAGTCCATGACCGGGTCTGTTCATGAAACAACCAATTACACCAGAGGGAGTGGTCGTGATATCTATTTGACCGAAGGAGTGTGGGTGACGACACCGGAAACCAGAACTAAGACACAAGCATGAAGGCTATCCATTGGACAGCGCTCTACCTTCCGTCAAAGCAGTGGCGGAGACGACTGTACTCATCCCTCATAGTCCATGCTAACTCGATGCCAACGCCGAGCTATTGACTGCAGGCGTCTATGCAGACAGCCCCGGCTGGTCACACTGCAGCGTTACAAATGATAAAAAAGCGCTTGACCGCGTCATCGCCAACAGATCCAGGTCCAGCAGAACGCGGATAACTAAGCTCGGATTAGCCAGCGTGTTGTGCAGAAGGACCGAAAGTTGAAGGAGGAGGCAATGTTGGGTGGCCAGAGCTGAGACATGAGCGCCATTGACCGGAAAATATGTCCTTCCAGCTAGAGCAGAATGCAGGCACGGTTCTGTTCATCTCTTACTTGCTACGTCAAGGGCAATACCGAGCCGCCAGCTGGTTGACTCCTGACCTCTGCCCCTTGCTTATTGCAATGCAACACTGCAACGCTACAGACACTACAGATGTGCTATACGTGGCGAAGTATTATGAATCCCTGAGAGCAAGGCTAGCGTCTTATGAGAGCGGAAAATCGTATCCAGGAAGGAGAGAGCCTGCTCGGGCATGACGCGTCCTAACGAGGCGAATTGGAGGGTGCGCTCCACCAAAGGAGCAAGGAGGCAGAGTAACCAGAGCTGAGTTTACGGCATGGAAGCTCATGCAGAAGCACTGATGCCTCAGTGATCCAGAGAAAAAAGAGAAAGCAAACAGGCTAATCAATCTGCTTCATGAGGGACTGAACCTTGCGAGGGGCGGACGCCCCTCCTTCAGCCGTAGATGTGCTCCGGATGAAGCCAGTACAGCAAGTATCGACGGAACCTAGACATAGTGGACGATAGACATCCTGCTAGTATATTCATCGCTGTTGCTGTGTTGCGTTGCGGGGAGAAATTCAAAAATGCGTTAATTGTTGGGGCCCGGCGTGTGCGAAGTCTGGGGTAACCAGACTCTATCAGGACCGAAGAATCCTGAGAGAGGCGGTCAATGGAGAGAAAAAGGGGCACTAGAGCAAGGCGGCATGATTCTTCCAAGGTGGCAGCCGGGTATGAGAAAATTGCCGCTTGAAGGATGGTTCGGCCGTGTAGGGAGAGGGTGGCGACTGGGCGCAGACGGGGCATTGCAAATCGAATAGATGAGAGTAGAGAGTATTGGGTGATGAAGGGGATAGAAAATGACGTTGGAAGAAGGCCTTTTATGACAAACGTTGGAGGTTAGTTTCCTGTTCGAGCGTAGTACAAAAGCCGTACACGAGGTCCGGATTACCTAGATAAGGTGCATCAATTTCCTAATACAGGCTTGCCGTCTAATTGTTTACTACTATAATAGCTAGTAAGATAGTATAGCTAGACTTAATAATTATGTTTACTAATATATTCTTTTAGCTCTTTTTAAATCGCTAATAATCTGTAAATTTTAATATTATTAATATTTAGCTTATATCTATATTTAGCTTTCAATAGCATTTAAAAGCTAATAGAACTATATAGCGTTCTATTAAAGGCTAGAGAACTTTAAATTAATAGAATGTATTAAGAATAATAGACCGATTAATCTACTAATCTAGATTAGTAGATTAGTTATACTATATACATATTTAACTAAGTGTAACTTTATTTAGTAATCTATCTTAATCTTTATTTAATCTACTATTCCTTTATCTAATAAGATTAGATAGATTAAAGAATTAGATAGATTATATAATCTAGGTTAGGTTAGTTAATAACTAACTAACCTATTAGTTCTACGATATACCCTCTTAGACTAAGAGTTACCTTATTATTCTACATTAAATAAATACTCTTAGAGGTATTAATTCTTTTATTAGGATATTATAGTTTATCTCTAGTCTAATATCTCTAAGTAGTGTCTACTCTCTCTCTTATACTCTAAGAAATAGTTAACTAATTCTTTCTACTTCGTTATATAATATTAGTATCTATCTAATCTACCTATTAAGTATAATTACCTCTAAGATTATACTTTACTAGAAACTACTATTAAGCCTACTAATATAATCTAAGGCTAATAAAGGCTTAATAGATTAGAAAACTATTCTCCTAATTAAGGCGTATCTAATTAAGGCTTAAGGTATCTGCGATGCCTAATACTAACGTAATCTACTAGCTACTACTTATATAGAGTTTTATACTAGTTTTATTTCTAGAGTATCTCTTATAGCTATTATTAATCTCTATCTTAGTCTTTACTTTTAGAGTACTTAAGATTAGATATTCTATATTTTCTCTTTATAGTATATACCTAGTAGAGGTATAAAGATTAACATAATAGATTTAGTATTACTTTCTTTTTCTTAGACCTTATACGATTCTAAGGATTACGCCTTTATTAATTTAGCGTATATACTAGTTTATTCTTTACCTATAATTCTATATAGTGCTTAGTATTACTTACGCCTATAAGATTCTTAGCATTTAGATATTAACTATCTTTTATTTCTATATTTAAGATTCTTTTACTTTACCTCCCTAGCTAATACTAAATAGTAATAGGATTTTTTAAATTGCTATTATCTGCGTAGTCACTTATTATAGCAACTACAAGATTAATTTTTCTAATTAGATTAATTTTACTTACTAGTTAACTTCTTCTCTCTCTTATAGTAATTTACTAACTACAGTTAGATTAGTATTTCTCGCTTAGGTTATTATAGTAAGGCTAATATAATCTAATTAGTTGCTATAGTAAAGGCGGCCTAATTTAGCCATCTACTAAGAGATTAGTTAGTAAAAGAGGTTTACTTAGCATTACTATTATTTACTAATTTTAGATAGTATATTAGTCCTTTCTCTACTTATTCTAATTTTCTCTTCTCTACTCTACTATATAAACTGCGCGCGCCTCTGCCTCTTCACTACTATAGCTTCTACTATTTAATTTTCTTATTCTTTAGATTAATACTGCGTTAATTACTAGCTTTCTTCCTTCGTCTATTATAGCTAAATCTGCCGCTAGCTTACTATTGTATGTCTTCCTATTTTTCTTTTATTTACCTTACTAAGGTAGTAAGGCTTTATATTTCTCTATATAGCCTTTTTATATAATGCGCAATGTAATAAATTAAGAGATCTATAAGTAGAATTATACTACTATTAAGGGTCGTTCTTAGATTAACCCTTATATTCTTAACTAGGAGTTTATTAAGTTCTTGAATAAGTCGCTTTATATTATTAATCTTCCTATTCTATATATCTAGAACTTAAAGTATAATACGCTTAGCTAGCTAATTCTACGTTATTAGTTTACTTACAATTAGTCTCTTATAATCTTCTAAGAGTATAGTTATTAATTAGGTTATACTATCTCTAAGCCTAATATAGAGAAGATTAGGGCTTCGCCTATATCTATACCTTAACCTTATCCTAAGATTATTAATCTTACTTCTAGTCCTATTAATACTAATACTTTATCTTAGCTATCTTTTTATAGAAGGTCTAGTAAGACTAAGGATACTCCTAAGAATACGTCTAATATTTAGACCTGCTTTAGTTATTCAGCAACCTAGGCTAATATTATTATTAGTTCTTTTTAAAGTACTTATTAACGCCGTCTTTACTATAAGTACGCTAAAGGTAGATTACGTAGTACTTATAATAGAATTTACTATAATAAGTTTAAGTATAATAGTTCTTATTACAGTGGGGTAACAAAAAAAAAACGTAGAAAAACAAGTTATTATTTTTAAAAGAGGATTGCTCAGCAGCTATAGTGGCTATAGATATAAAAGTTAGTGCGTTTTAAAGCTAAGATCTTCTAGTCTTTTACATAGGTGTCACGTAACATTCTACTACAGCATTAGGTAGATCTATAATAACTTAAATACTTGGAAAAATTCTAAAAGATTTTGAACTTTTAGAACTCTATAGTAAATAGAGCTATATAGCTAATAGTTATATATATAGTTGTAGTAGATATATAGATCACGTGATAATAGTCTTAGCTACTCTAGCTTATATATATAATAGATTCTTAATACATCTAGTACTTAGCCTATACTTATAAAAGCGGTATATTAGTTAGCAATTAGTCAGAATATTATATATATATCACTCTTTTAAATCTTAGTCTCTTAGATCTTTATTTTCTCTTAATAGATCCAAAACTTTCTAAATTTAAAGCTGAAGTTAATTAGCTTATTAACGCTAATATAGCTATTAAAAATATTTCTATCTACTTTTAGAAGCCTCTAAGATCTATCTACAACGCTATTTATCGTATTAATAAAAAAAAGAAAAATATTACTAAGTAAGAAAGAGCTAGTAGAGGCCGGGTTTCAAAGCTTTCTACTAGGACTAGAAGAGCTATTAATAGGGATATAACTAAGAGCCTAAAGAAGATAAATTCTAGATTAATCCGCGAGAATAATCTAGAAGTTTCTACTAGAACTCTTTAAAGAGTTCTTAATGTAGAAGGCTAAATAGTAAATATCTACTCTAAAAAATTAACGTTAAACGCGTCTAGAGCTAGAGAAAGACTAGCCTACGCTAAGAGATAGCTAAAAGAGCTTCCTAATATTATTTTTAAAAAGATTATATTCTTAGACGAGTATAGCGTTAAGCGTAGATATAGATCTTACTTAGAATATACTAGAAAACGCGGTAATTCTAAAGGTAGAAGAACTTTAGTTTCTAGTAAAACTACTAGTACGTTGTAGAAACTCCTATATATATAATATATATCTACTAGATATATATAATTATTATATATATATATTTTATCTATATCTAGCTTACTAATAAAGTTCTAGGTTATAATATAACTATCTAAGTTTAGGCCGCAATTTAGATAAGTAGAAGATTAGATATAGTAGTAATAAAAATACCAAAATCTACTATTTCTTATCACTCTTACTACTATATTAGGCGGTGTCTAATACCCTATATAAAACTAAAAATAAACAGAGGTAAGTTTAATATATATATTTTTAATATATATTTATATATATTTTTAATATATATTTATATATTTATTTTAATATTTAATAATATATTTCTATCTAAGTATATTAAATTATAGAGCTAATTTAAGACTATTTAGGCTAGAGTTTTTAGTAAGATAACGCTAAGATCTATATAGCTAAGAACGTTCTAGAGTAGTTTTAGCGTAACTATATTAGACTTTTTAAGCATCCGCTATATAGCCTAGATCTTAACCTAATAGAAAACGTATAGAGCTTACTTAAGGACTAGCTTACTAAGCTACCTAGTAGGTCTCTTAGCGTTAGCTCTATAGATAAGAGTATAAATACTTTTATTAGCGTAATTAAATAAGAGTAGGCTAATATTCTATAAAGAGATATAGATAATTATATCTTATCTATAAAAACTAAATATACTAGAGTAGTAGAAGCACGTAGCTAGTATACAAAGTATTAGTTTGTAGCTAGAAGATAATAGAAAAAATCTTATTTTAAAACATAGTATTTCTATATCTTAAAAAATAGATAGATAATGTATCTCTATCTTAATATATATTATATATCTTACTAATCTAACTCTATATAACGTGCGGGATCAGTGAGCTGGCCAGCTTACTGATCTGGCCAGCTCACTGATCCCGCACGTTAGTACTTATTACTATATAAGATCTAAAAATAGCAGCGCGAAATATTTAGCTAGAATCTAGAAAAATTACTTCTCGAACTTTAGCATATTATGTAGCTATAAATAAGCTTACTAAGCATTACGTAATATAGTTATTATAAACTACTTGATATCTAGTTTTTAACGGACTAACCCGTTTAAGTATAGGTGCTCTATAAGCTGAGTTATCATCTATTAAAAACTACTACTTTTTTAACTACGTTTTTTTTGTCACCCCCCTGTAATCTTCCTATAACACGTTAATGAACATAATATTAGATATATATAGTATACTTTTCCTATCGTATAATAGTAAGTAGAGATAGATTAACTAAGACGGATTAATAAAGCGATAATAGACGCCTTTTGAATATTTTGTTAACGCGTCTTATA